AGGCTCATGTACTACTTTGATTGTGTCTGCACTTGCGTTGAACCCGATAGTGACTACACTATACGTCGCCTTAGAGATTATCGAAATTATCATCGATTGACCAGCGAAGAAGAGGCCCAACTCATAGTCCTCTGTCTTGCTCTCAGTCCTGATAACTTGATTGGATCAGTATTTCATCCAGTGAATGACTGTGGATCATCTACAAACAAATTTGTTGAGATAAGTGCCGTCAAAACAGACCTTCTTGTGACCAAATCTCTCCTCATTGGAGGACAGCGGAGAAGGGTGCAAAAAGTCATGTTTTTCCAGAAGAGTTGGATGGACAGAAACTTCATTGAGCCTCTTAAAGCAGTGCAGAGGAGACTCAATCGTCCAGCTCAACGTCGTATTGAGCCTTCCCCACGTCGTTCTCTAGCTCGTCGCAGAGAAAGAAGTTGCTGCATTATACTCTGAAGAATAAACCATTGAACTATTATTAATGCTAAAATACCTTTATGTTGTTTACAGGAATAATTAATGATAGTTTACATAATAGTCTATAGAGTAAAGTGTTGGCTTGATAATTGTTAATTATTATTATTATAAAGCTATTCCGCTATTATTCTAAAGTTTTAGATCCAATGGTATCAGACATCAGTGGCTGGATGGACAAATTTTTTGACACAAATGCATCATCCATGGCATGGTATGATAATGATGCTATAAGTGCAGGATAATTATAATCAAGTTATATAGGTAGCCAACTAAGCCAAGCCCTTATTTGTGGTAATAATGATCAAGAAGACCACTATAGGAGAGTGAATATACCGTTACATCAAGAGTACTCTTGGTTACATGGTTGACATCAATCAAGTCATGAATTTACAGAAAAAGATCAAATTGATTGTTTACACATGACTGATCCTTTATTTAAAAAGCATGCTTGCTTTATGATGCACAATGTAGCTAAGTTAGGTCATCCGATTTCATTCATAGGATTCATTACTGTACATCTAGACCTGTATATACATTATTCATATTCCATGAATCACATGACAACAGCTTTTTGAGTGTATAATAGCATCATCAGTTGAGAGTCAGGAGAAGACAGAAATACATGTCAATGGGGAGCAGGTTAAAATCTCTGTTTCCTAAAGTTTTATATAGTTTATGTTTTTGTTTTGGTTTCCTGATGATGACTATACTATGTGTCACCTGAGAGATTTTCAAAACTATTCTCGATTGACCAGTGAAGAAGAGGCTAAGCTTATTACGATATGCTACTGCTGATTGTGGGCCATTATCTAATAAATTTGTTGAGATAAGTGCAGTCAAGACTAATGTGCTTGTAACTGACTCTCTCCTCATTGGAGGGCAGCAGAGAAAGGTTCAAAGCATAATGTTTTTTGAGAAGAGGTGGATGGAAAACAACTTTATTGAACCACTTAAAATAGTGCAGAGGAGACTTGACCCTCCACCTCAATATTACCTGTGCTATTCAGTAAAGATCTTGCTAGCATAAAACTGCTGTTTCTTGCCACAGCTTAGTTACATTATAGACTTTATCAGGGTTAAAATAGAGCTGTCATTGTGCTATTTATCTTTAATACCAGGAGTGTTAATACCCAATAGTTCAATTGTATTCATTTATATTCTAATACTCATAACAGCCTACCTAATAAAAATTTTATTTGTCACTGTTTACTTAGCAAGCATAGTGAAACTATTCCTGGAATTGTCATGCATGAATAAAACTAGTCAGTATTTATAGTCGGGTCTTGGTCTAGCTGCCATATAACTACTAAATAGAATTTACTAGTTTTCTCTCTCTTTATTGTCCTGTCAGTCACTGAACATTAAACTGGTTTTTAAGTATGTTAATGTATTTGATTGTATTTATGATGTTTAGTTGCCCTGATTCAAAAGCAATTTCTGTCATTTTACAATTTTCATAAATCTCTATATTTCATTATTGCAGTTATGGCTGCTGTAATGGGGAGGACTCAGATACAGATAAAGGATGTAGGCAGATCAGTCAGCGTACCCAATGACCCAATAGCCAGGCTCATGTACTACTTTGACTGTGTCTGCAGTTGTGTTGAACCTGATAATGACTACACTATACGTCGTCTCAGAGATTATCAGAATTATCATCGATTGACCAGCGAAGAAGAGGCTCAACTCATAGTCCTCTGTCTTGCTCTCAGTCCTGATAACTTGATTGGATCAATATTCCATCCAGTGAATGATTGTGGATCATCTACAAACAAGTTTGTTGAGATAAGTGCCGTCAAAACAGACCTTCTTGTGACCAACTCTCTCCTCATTGGAGGACAGCAGAAAAAAGTACAAAGTGTCATGTTTTTCGAGAAGAGGTGGATGGAGAACAACTTCATTGAGCCTCTTAAAGCAGTGCAGAGGAGACTCAACCGTCCTCCTCAACGTCGTATTGAGCCTCCCCCACGTCATTACAGTCCTCCTGCTCGCCGTCGGGAAAGCAGTTCCTGCACAATACTCTGAAAAATGAACCATTGAACTATTAACAAGAGTTGCTATTAGTAATACTACATTAGCTTTTAGTATGTAGGAGTGCAAGTATATACTACATTTAGTTATTATTTCTTGTGTAGTTTACTGGAACAAGTACATGTAGTTTACATATAGTGTTGGCTTGCTGTCGTATAGTGTCCCAATTGTTATTGATATAAAGCCCTGTAGATTTATTTAGTATTGCTATTATTCATTTGAAATAAAGTTTTTGATCCAATGGGTGTCAAAATTATACAACGTTTACAATAACTGAGACACGAATACAAGATTTTTCTGACATTTGTAGAACTAATAGATCAAATCTATACAATCATGTTTGCTTTATCATCATAGTTTATGATGCATTCTAATTTCAGTATAATGTATACCTAAGTAGATCTAAGTTTATAGAATTCGCTATTGCAACATGAATTTCATCATATGACAGACTGAACAGCTGAGCTCAACAGCTTTTGTGAGTGTATAATGGCATCATCAGCTGAGAGTCAGGAGAAGACAGAAATACATGTCAATGGGGAGCAGGTCAAAGTTTCTGTACCCAATGACCCCATTGCTACCTTCATGTACTACTTCACACTGTCTCCAGCTGCTTTGAGCCTAAGTGCCAAAATTGTACTACACAATAACAGACCATAGGCACATGTGTGGAAACAAGTTTTTCAAAATTTCAAATAGCAACATGCCAGTAGATTATTATTTTCAATGATGTTGAGGAATAAACTGAGAATGAGATTTTTGAACAGTGCAAATAATTTACATTACATCATTTCATTCAGTCATTAGTAATATACTGTAAACACATTTTTGGTGTGTCACTATTGTTTATTCTAGATACCATGTAAGGACATCTGTGTAGTGAAGCATTTCTTGGATTCCTCATACCAATAAGTAATAATAAAAGCACAGCCCTAATAATTATTACACTAGACGGGAGCCTAGCTAGTTGAGACTACTCAAATTTACTCTATTTTCTGTCCTGCTACTGATCGCAAAACTAATTTTCTAAGTATGTGTATCTGACTGTACATGAATGAATGAATTGTAGTTAACTACTGAATGTGCAATATCTTCCTTTAAGTCTATTGCCTTTATAAATATCTATAGTAGTATTGTGCATTTTTTATATCATTTTTGCAGCTATGGCTGCAATAATGGGAAGGACTCAGGTACAGATAAAGAATGTAGGCTCATCAGCCAGTGTACCCAATGACCCAATAGCAAAGCTCATGTACTATTTTCATTGTGTATGTGGTTGTGTTGAGCCTGATGATGACTACACTATACGTCGCCTGAGAGATTATGAGAATTATCATCGATTGACCAGCGAAGAAGAGGCCCAACTCATAGTCCTCTGTCTTGCTCTCAGCCCTGACAACTTAATTGGATCAATATTTCATCCAGTCAATGATTGTGGATCATCCACAAACAAGTTTGTTGAGATAAGTGCCGTCAAAACAGACCTTCTTGTGACCAACTCTCTCCTCATTGGAGGACAGCAGAAAAAGGTGCAAAAAGTAATGTTTTTTGAGAAGAGGTGGATGGAGGACAGCTTCATTGAGCCTCTTCAAGCAGTGCAGAGGAGACTCAACCGTCCAGCTCAACGTCGTATTGAGCCTCTCCCACATCATTACAGTCCTCCTGCTCCCCCTAGGGAAAGCAGTTCCTGCACTATACTCTGAAAAATGAACCATTGAACTATTAGCAAGAGTTGCTATTAGTAATACTACATTAGCTTTTAGTATGTAGGAGTGCAAGTATATAGATCTACTGCATTTTATAGTATGTGGGATCACTGTTGTTGTTTCATGTCTAGCCTGGGGTTGTTGACAGGAACAAGTACATGTAGTTTACATAGTCTATTGAGTATAGAGTGTTGGCTTGATGTCATAATGGTTGTGAAGTTGTTACTGTTATAAGCCCCTGTAGATTTACTTAGTATTATTTCAATTGCTATACTTTTTTGAAATAATAAAGTTTTAGATTCAATGGTGTGTCAAAATTGCACAGCATGCGCAGAAATTTTCAACTTACAAACCATACAGAAAAAGGATTTATAAATGATTCATCCAAATGTTTTGGACCATTGTGTTTATATGCATGCTTCTGTATGTAAGCCACTCTAATGTGATTCATAGAATTCATTGCTGTGTCTGCATTATTCATAGAGTCAGCAACCTACTATCGCACACCATCGATATTCGAACACTTTTTCTCACAGTTCAGTGATCAGAAGCCAGTGACTATAATTTTATCTTGTAGATCAGATGTTCCTCTACAGCTGTAACAACTTTCATAGAGATCTGTCTTTGCTGTGTTTTTATAATAATTTTTAAGTAGAAGTTTCGAACACATGCAAGTTCGCATAGACGCCATGTATTGTCGTTCACCTATTTTCGCTAAGTAATGAAGTAACTGGCAAACAATTCATCATATTCATATGAAAGCCCTGTCTTTCTGCTCCATGATGCACTATTCAGTTACAAGAAAGAGCTAGTCTTCACCGCACTAGAGTTGATTCTTTGGAAGAAAAGACGCACATCAACATTCGTTCAAATTTTACATATTTTATTAATTTTTAAATAAAACTTAATTTTAAAAAATATTAAAATTTTTCTTTTGCCCATTAGCTCTTAACAAAAAAATTAAAATTGTCAAAAATTTGAACGAATGTTGATGTGTGTCTTCTCTT